GATCATAACGTTCTCTTTCCATTCCTTAAAATTCGTGCCATTAAGCACTGGGATGCTATTAATATTAGCAGATATTGTAGCAGCGGAATTATTGACTGAAAGAGAACAAAAAAATAATATAAATGATATGCTCTATGAACTGAAATTAATTTGATAATTAATTTTAAATTTAAATATTAGCAATCCCCATCACAAGATACCTAGCGCAACATCTAATCTTGTCTTTAGACATAAATTAGACTTGCAAGTGGTACTCTTGGTGTGATAATAAAATTTTGATAATAAAATCATGTCAAATATTAAGCCTTTCTTTGGACCGACTTAATATTCACACGAAAAACTTCATAATCATCACAAATTTTATTATCACAAATGTACTTAAATTTCGGCCAAATAATAACCTTCCTTTGGGCCGATTATTATCCACATGAAATAAGAAAGTACACAATCATCTTAATATATGAGTTAATTAATTTCAACAAGAGAGGCTACTTTGGCAGCATGTTGTGTCAATTAACTAACTCAAATATTAGACATGCTAATATTAAATCAAAAAATCTGAAAAATAAAATTGGGCGAATTTTTCTGAGTCACATGCAAATGTGTTATGTATAACGATAATTTGAAAAGTTTGTACTCAATCGCTATGTAATTGCAAAATAGGGTTTATGCATCCATAACACATAATACATACTTTTCAAGCCGCAAATTACAACGACTAACAAAATAATCTTTTCCAGTAATATCAAAATTATGCATTTCTGATAAAATTTATATTGACTGTGATTACATATAAGTATTTAATTGCCAAAACCGGTAATAATCATATATGTACTTAATTACCAAAATCAGTAAAATTCCATAATCAAATCACCGAGAAAGGAACCACATCAAAATTTTAACTTGATACACATAATTTGGCAGTCTCGATAATTGGTTCCAAATCAAGAACAAAAGTAGTACATACGATAATTACTTAAATTAAACAATAGCTTAAAATATGATTCACTATGAATCAACCCGATCTCCCACATTTAATAAAGTATTGATAATACTGATGATTGAAATCAAAAGAAATATAAAAGAGGATTCGTTAACATTTGAATCCACCTTCCCGAAAAATCAATCGTAGGATTGATTGACTTCACAAATAAATAAATAAAAAATAAAGAATGAAAAGAGTTCAGGAGTGCGTCACTTCCAGATTTGGCAACATCAAAGAGAGCAAAATAATTGCTCAATGCAATTTATCAATTTCGTTCGAGCCGTACATTGAAGCTTAAGAACACAAAAAAAAAATACTCCATACTTGATCATCCCAATGGATTAATCGCTAATGCGAACATCCCGATCAAAACACGGAAAAAATAACACATAAAACCTGGCTCGACAGAGTATGTGTCGAAAAGAAAATACTCATAAATGCCAAAAATTCCAATCGTGAATCACGATTAGAAAAAACAATATGAATCCTCTAGTTCAAATATAATGATTCTCATTGATCATCAACTGTCGATTCAATAGGAACGAATTGCATAAGTGCAAAATCGCATTACCCTGATTCTATTTAATCGCCAGATCATATGACAAAAGAAATTCCAGAAATTCAATCATTCAAGATTGAAACAAAACTATGAATACTCCAAATAATTCAATATGAAGGAGGCTCTGATACCAATTGTTGGAATAAATCCGATAATACTTTAATCTTCATATTGAAATTATCTAGATAATTAACTGAGCGGAAGCGTACCTGACTCCATAGGAGATGATCTTTGGAGATCCGGGAGACAGAGACTAGGGTTTGCGTCTTCTAGTTGATACACACCCTCGGGATTATCTCTCTAGCGATGGGATGCAGAAAGACGGAATGATGTGTTCAACTAGGGACCATAACCCCTTGTTTATAGAGAGTGCTTAACCCTAATCAGCCCATCATTGATTAGGTCAAGCCCATGGGTCTCTACACATTTGGGCCCTATACCTTATTAGATAACTTATTAGCCCACTTAAATTAATATCCATAGGACCACTAATTTTTGGGCCTAAATATAAGATAGCATATAACATACAATTAAACCCGATAAATAATATATTGTGAATATTACATGCAATATAAGTCCAATAATCTAACAATTTAATCATTTATATCTACCCCACCATATACAAAATTTTCTTGGCCTTGTCTAGGTCACTTCTACTCAAAATTATTTAATCATATATTTTCTTTATTTACCTTGTTGATTGAGGTAGTGCACTTCATTTAATTTCATTAACCTTTTGGTTATAGACCAAAAGACCATAACTAGGTAAATTTAGAACTCAAAATTAATTTTAATTGTAGCTTAATCTGAAACTGAATCGAGTTTTGTGATATACAGTAATTCGAATTGCCGGCATGGAAGATGAAATTGCAATATCTAATACAGAACGGAGTATACATTATGTTAAGATGCATCCCTAGGAATCCATAGTTTTAAACTCAAAAACATTAAGAGTTTAGTTATATTTTAGGGTGATTGGTAGGTTAGTTTAATATGTTTTATTTATTTTTCAATGCGGAAATTTTAAAACTGCATATTTCTCTAATACAACTCAATATTTTGTCAACAAATTGGGATGGGTGGTACCTCATTTGATACTAAACATCATTCTCAGATTGCCCCCAATGCAATTGAATTAAGTTTACCTTTAAATGTTGGTTGGTCCTTAAAGATCTTTTATGTGCAAATATGCTCACAACGTGTATCCTTTATGCTTTGTAGGCTAATAATTATACAAATAATCAGAAACTTATTCTTCCTAGAAAAATTGTTCCCATAACGGGAATGAGAAAGTATCCAAAAAGAATTTTCGATGATAGCTTTTTAGATGCATTCTCCCATTTTGTTGATGAGGTTGCGATGTTGCACAGTTCCGTGTTACAAATCGACAAATTGTAGTATATTTGTATGAGATTAATATTGATATTTGAAACAGTTTTATTTATTTGAATTTATTTAGGTGGCTATATATAAGTAATTTCGTGGGTGTGAATAGAATTCCACATACTTTTTATGGTAAACACGTTAATATTGATCAATTGAGATAAAATATAATTAAAACCAATTCAAATCAATTGACTCCGAAAACAGTCCAAGGATCAAATAAAGGAACAATCATTCTCTGAGGAGAAACTTGAATCGCAGACCATTGCATAGGTAACTCTAAGTCACGACTTCTCATTGTGATCATCTTACTTCTACGTACGTTAATTAGGTCCCTTGGATTTTGATGATGCCCATATATTAGACTTCACTACTTGATTGTGTTATTATATAATGCTTGCCACTTTAATTTGTTTACAAAAGAAGTACTCATAAAAATAAAAACAAAAAGAAGAGAACTAAAAAGAGAAAATAAAAAGTAAATAAAGATCATACCAAAAATATTAAAACAAAAATAAAAGAAAAGATGCGCACATAAGTTAACTAAATTTTTGTCCTTAATAGCACTCTCCAGCAGCATGCTAGTAAAATCGTTCCAAATAGTCAAAATTGGAATTTCTTACTACAAGCAAAATTATATGTCACGTTTTTCTCTACGACTCTCACTTTAGCGGCAGAGTCAAATAGCAACGTAGTGACCAGTGGGACTCTCAACAAACTAGTAGGCGGTAAAATTGTAAATAAGGCATATTAAATATTCCGACACTTATTTTTGCACATAATGTTTTATTTCTGAACCATTTAGCCTATTTTTAGAGATAGCATGTAGATAGTATTACATGATTGTAAACAAAAGACTTAGAGACTCATTGTACGTATTACACATGCGTTAAATGGCGATTGAAAACTTTGTCTCAATAATTTTGCTCCACATTGATCAATCAATGGATCAGATTGAATCTCCTCAACATGCAGGAGATATTCAACACTTAAGTCCATAAATACTGAAAAAGTGTTCATTCATATATACTTTTGTCCGCTTTTATCTTTGCCTTCTCTCTATAATACCACGAGTGGATTCATGTATAGTTATCACAAATTTCTACACTAGAAACTCTTCTTATAATGAGCTCCTAATCACCTAAGATAAAGAGATTGTCAAAATCTTAATCTTGCCATCATTTAAAGTGGTCCCTGGTTGTTTGTCGATTTCTATGGTGTATTTTACTATTATCGTGTCATGAACATAGCGGTGCAAAACAAACATCTCTATCAACATTATTATCAACATCTCTATTTGAAGAAGATATTAAGAGTTAGATAAATTTGTCCCACATCCCTTTGATATACAATAATAATTTAATATGTAGTATATAATATGTGTATTAGCTTTGTTTATTAAGTTGACATTTTAAGATGTAATTATATATCTTGATATGATTTTAGAGCTAGTTTAATTGTGGTTTGATTGTTTTTTGACACCTATGATTTAAGGAAGTCAATTCAGAGTCTTTTTTGCCTATTTATGTACTTCAAATTGTCAAACTTGATTTAGCATAGTGGACATGTTGAAGGTCTTATAAGTAACTACAAAAATAATGTCTTAGAAATTTAAAATGGGACTCATGAGCCGTATTCTTGTATTGTGCTAAAAAGAAACTCTTCCAGCTCCAATTAAAGAAAAAACAAAAACTTGTTAACATATATATGACTTATAAAAGTGAGTGTGTAATATATTCAAAAAAAGTATAAAGATATATGTATAAAAATGAATGTCAGAAAATATTAAGTTATTTACAAAAATGATATACCTTTCGATTCTATTATAGTTAGGTGAATTTTATTTATCCTCTTGTTATTGTAATTTAGTTGTACTCTTACTTGGAATATATAGACAATTAAATATAGATAAAAAATACACATGCAGGAGTATATTTTAAGATTTTTTGTATGGAAAAAGAATTGAGTAAGCCAAATAAAGCTAGTCATGCAAGAAGAATGGGCACTTAGTTTGTTGGGGTAGCATGGATATATGTGTGCTCCATCTAACCTCAATTTACTAGCACAAAACTAGTAAACACCCATTGCACACATCCAACAATATTTTTATCATACGAGGTTCCTCCATAATTATAATAACAACTCTCATCTTTATGGAGAAATCAATTCTCATTCAACACTAATTTCCCTAAATCGCCTTCACTGCTTATATACTTGTTGTTGAGTTTCATTAGCATAGATACATCTCTATATATGCAATAGTTCATTACATAGATGATTAATAAAGTTAAATTAATGATGTTCATCACTTATATTACTCATATTGTTAAACGTATTCATTCTATTGTGTTGACTGTTGCAATGATGATTATGTTGTCATCGTCATTGTTCCCTGCTGCTGCATATAGTCATCCATCAAGAAATCAGGACGTACTTGGGGCCATTGCAGAGATGCAGAAGGCGAACTACTTCACTTTTGTCATGCTCATCAACATGGCACCTCCTGACCTCTTCCAAGGAAACTTTACTTTCTTAATGCCCAACGATAGAGCGCTCTCCACAGCCATCCTACCAAACAGTGACGTCGTTAACTTCTTGCTCTGCCACTCAATCCCTTCCACTTTGCTCTTTGAGCACCTTCAACATTTCCCAACTGGCTCCTTCATCCCATCTTCCAAGCCAGATCTGATGCTCAGGGTCACCAACCATGGGCGGAGACAGTTCTTCCTCAACAACTCTCGTCTCATCAGCCCTAATATTTGCACCACTGGCTCCTCCATTAGATGTCATGGGATTGATGGGGTTCTACTGCCCGCCACCTCCACAATGACAGGTGATCACAGTGGTCCCCCACATGTGACGATTGCTCCTCCTCCTCCCTATATTACACCGGTGGGAAAGGCCTTGCCGCCTGCAGCTCCTTCTGAACCAGCACCCCCTGTCACATCATCTAATGATCCAACACCCACACCACCACCGGTGACTGATTCATACGAGATTAACAACGCACAAAGATGGAGCTTTGTTTCATCTATGCGGGAAAGAATAATATTTGGTTTGATGTCGTTTCTAGTGTCTATGTATGTCATATAATATTTTAAAAAACATAATCATTTTTCCATGACAATATATGACTGAAGTTAGCTTCTTTCCTTATGTATTATGTTTGACCCATGTCTTTTTTCATCCAAAAAATGTACTCCGTAGTAGAAAAGAGAAACATTTCAATGACTCAAATGCTCTTAATTACGTCATCTCACCATTTTCAAAGCACTTATAAGTTGTAGTAGTAGTTAATAAATTTAATGTGATGTACTTAACATTTTCAAATATGGGTATAATTGTCCTTCAATAATGTAACATTATTCATACATTAATGTCTATTACTCAATATTTGAATACATACACTAGTAAAATTGTATAACTTAAAACCATTAAGAGTTGGGTATATGCATTTTTTAAAGGAAAACCCCCTCATATATTAACATCAAAAGAACCACTACCCGCATTGAATAATGCGGCCCTAGCTAGCTTACAGGCCATGTGATTCGCTAATTGTTTACAGAACTTGACATCAAACCTAACTTCATTATGAAGAATGTGTTCGATATCATCAATAATTGTACCTAAATAATAAATTTTTGAGACTTCATCTAGCCTTGTCATGATGAGCTGTGCATCTGTCTCTAGCATGATCATACTCCATCGTTGACTCTTCACCCATGTGAGCGTCGCTCCAACACTGTGTGCCTTTGTTATGCTTGCTGACCAATCCACTGCATGAGATATCCATCTTCCTATAATAAACTCACTATTGTGATCTCTTGCAATCCATCCCCAAGCTTGTCTTCCCCGGTTTTCATTTGTAGCTCCATCAACATTAATCTTGATTGTTCCAGCAGCCGGTCTAGTCCAATGGGTCTCATTCGCCGCCATTACTCTATTTGCCACCATGGTTCCCTGTGCAGTCCAACACCCTAGAAGTACACCAGCTCCCATATTTATCATATGTAAAGCATTAAAACACTAGTTATTCCATACTACCTCATCATGTTTCCTCCATATGCCCCACAGAAGAGTATTAAATTTGCATAAGTCCTCCTCTATCAAAGTACTGAACAGATTTTCCACCCACTCCTACCAAGAAGACACAGACGGTCGGAAATCAATCCCGGCTTTTTCACAAACTTCAGCTACCGCCCCACAATTCTTAAAAAGATGGATCACGGCCTCGTCGTCCTCGTTATACAGCTTACAGCCTCCCGCTTTCTTAGCTTATCCGCCGTTAGAAGAGCAACTACCATTACCTGCCAAAAGAAATATTTTATTTTTGATGAAATAAAAAACCACATATTAGTCCAGCCCACCGAGGCATTCTCCTCCACCTCACCAATCAGTTTCATGTATCCCCATTTAACTGTATACTATCATCTGGAGTCCCCAATCCATCGGTAACCATCCTTCACCTCCCGACAACTGAGTGGGGTACTCAAAATAGTTGACGTATCCTGATCATTAAAAGTAGATCTAACCCTTTCTAGATGTCATTCTGACCGGTCCTCTTTGATTAAAGTTGCTACGCTCATGTCATAAATTCCATCGGGCTTGTTCAAAGTAACCAAATCAGTCCCTTCCCCTGGTAGCCATGTGTCATTCCAAACTGAAATATCCTGACCATTGCCATCCTTCCTCCTCGTCCCCTCTCAGATAACATTGAGAAGGATTATTTCTCAACTCTGCGTCTAGAAAAGAAGATTTAGGGAAGTAAGGAGCTTTAAAGACCTTACCTACCAGCGACTCCGCATTAATAGTAAGATCCCTTGCTTGCTTTTCCACCATAACAATATTAAATTCTCTCACTGAACAATACCCCAATCCACCTTTAGATTTGGGACTGCATAAAGCTCTCCATGTCTTCCACCGTATGTCGTGTCCCTCCAAATCCTTTTTTCGCCACCAGTATCCATTCATGAGTCTTTCTGTCTCCGTGCACAAATCCAGGGGTAGGAGGAACACATTCATAGCGTAGGAAGGCATTGCTCGAATGACCGTTTTTAAAAGTACCTCTCTCCTTGGTTTGGACAAAAATTTACTATTCCACATCGTGATCTTTTTCAAAATTATCTCTCTCAAATATCCCATGATCTCAATCTTTCGCCGCCCCATTAGCTATGTAGCCCTAGATAGAGACTACACATCTCTCTAGGTAAAACTCCCAATAAATTACATATCCTGCCTTTCACCTGATCCTTGAAATTAGGGCTAAAAGAAATTGAGGATTTAACAAAATTTATTTTGTCTCGAGACACACTCACACGTATAAAAAATTTCTTTGATCGTGAGGTTTCCTCTCCCTCTTGCCCTGAAAAAAGATAATTGTCATCTCCAAAGAGAAGATGGGATATCACACTCAGTGCTCCCCTAGCGACCGCAACACCATGGATCCTTTCCAAGTCTCATACTTTAGAAAAGCTGGCTTAAACCCTCAACAACAAGAATGAACAAATAAGAGGAAAGAGGAACCCCTTTGCAGAATCCCTGGGTTGGGGTCTGATCGGCCCAATATAGTAGCTCCGTCAAAAGGAATACAATACTTCACCCCACCACACAAGCACAGATAAGATGGATTAGACGAGGGGCAAACCCCATAGCTTCCATCACCTTAAAAAGAAAATCACATTGCACCCTATCATATAGGCTTTACTCGTGTCCATTTTTAGTGCAACAAAACCTTATTTGCTTTGGGGTTTCCTTTTTAGGTAGTGATGAGTTTCAAAAGCTATCATAAAATGATCCACAATAGATCTACCATATATAAAGGCACTTTGAGTATTAAATATGCATTTTGATTACATGATATCAATAATGATCTTGACAATAATACGAACCAATGGTACCATGATTAGTCGATCAATTATTTAACAAGATATTTACCCTAAATAGGACTAAATTAGAATCAAAATTCCTAAATAGGAGTTAATGTTTTATTTTTCCTAAATAGGACTCCTTCTTACCAATTTACCCCTGCTATAATAAAACCCATTGGTCCATCTTCAACTCGACCGACATCGATCGCAGGCGGCTCCTCTCCTATCCTCTTCCGCAACATTATTCCGGCCACCGATCTCCAGGCAATTCCTCCTCCTTCTCTTCTTTCTTCTCCTTCCCCTCTTCTCCTTATACTTCTTCTTCTTCTTCTTCATTCTCCTCTATTTCCTGCTCCTCTTTCTTTTATTATTATGTTCTGTTATTTTATTACAAAAAATCGATTCTAAATGCAAATTTTGAATTCGAAACCTTTGGGAATGAAAAGTTGAGGCTCTCGTTCAAAAAAATCAGATCTAAATATTATTATTGTGTACCTTTATCAATTTGTAAAAATCGCCACATTTATGTCATTTTTTTATGAAGATGAAAATATTACAACTTCAAAAATGCCAAATTTTTGGCATTTTCACAAATCATGGCTTTTTTATGGCATTGAATTCATCCGCAACACTACTTCATTTTTTCTCTCCTATTCCACATTTTCATCTCTAAAATGTGAAAATGCCATAATTAGTAATCTCAAAAATCCATGTTTTTGCATATAGAAATGCCATTTTTTGTCATTATTGTTACCATAATTGTAATTTTGCCTGAAATTGATACCATACACTCCACATGAGGTAGCTGTGACTAAGAAAATGTCAGCATCTCCACAGAGGATTTAGTGGTGACACCATTCTCGTTGTAGGACGGGGTAAGTCACCTCACCGAAGGTTTGCAACGGCAATCTCGGCGGCGACAGTGGCGACGTTCTCACTTGACTGTGGTGGTGGTGGTCTCAACAGCGGTGGCCGTGCTGGCGTGCACTGAAGGTGCTGAAGGTGTCGGCGGTTTGGAGTTTTATACTATAGACATCGACGAAGTAGACAGCTGGGGGGCGGAAGGGTTTTATTTTTTTATTTGACCTGTAATTTCATTAAGATCAATATTGTCTATCAGTTCATTTTTAAACCTATAAATTATGAGAGGCTTATTTTTGCATTTCAACATTGGTTTAGTCCCATTTAGAGAACTAACCCTTATTTATTCAATACATAAATCTACTGTGCCAAAACATTCATTGAACTGATTCGAATGTTAGTTTGTTGGAATTAATATGACATTGTCATATGTTTTTAGTTAAAGTAAAAAATCAAAATTGGATTTGATACTTTTCCCGTTTAATTTCTACTCGGTTGGTGAATTAAATTTACGTTTGTTTATTTACTTTTTTGAAGTAAATTTACGTTTACTTATTAAAAAGGCATACATATACGTAAGCACACCTATAAAAGAATAAGGAAATTTCTCTAGTGCCTTGTTAAATTAACAAGGTATAGGTGCCTTAAACAGTTATTCAAATAATGACATGATACTAAATTTAATTTCAATATTAATATATTTGCATTGCAGTCCCTTCCGTTACCATCTACATTTTTGTAAAGGTTGTCCTGTGAATCTATGATTACCGATTGTATCTCAACAAGTCATTGCAATTAAAAGATACAATAAAATTCAGCCCACGAATTAGGATCATATTTCCTTATTTGGATAGAGCATATCGATAACCAAGAATTGCAATTTTTGTTGAAAAGAACCAGAAAGCCTTATGCTATGTTGAGTCTGTTAAAAAATACTCTCAGAATATTAATGAATTGTAAAACTAAACATATATGCTTAAATAATAACAAATTCAAAGGACAGAGATGTTATTTTTTCTAAATTAGATTTTAAACCCGATGTAATGATTAAATGATTAACATATTAATCTGATTTGAGAATCTGTGTTCTTTTGTGAAAAATCTTTTGCCTAAAGCGCTGTTGCGCCGCTGGGGCACTGTAAAATCCAGAGACGTTTGTAGGACTCAAATGCAAATAGATCAATCATCATTTTAAAATTAAATTATATGCTTGGACATTACTTGTATTATATTATTTATAATACGGAGTAGGTTTTACCTATCCACGTGTAGTATTTTTAGTGACCATCTAGGCAAAGATATGGTACACTCTAAAACACACAAAAATCTATTAAAATACTAGTACTAAATTAATAGAGATTTTTTTAGAGATCAAATCTATTTTTTTAAAACATTATAAACAAAAATAAAATTTGAGTCCAATATAAATGTCCGGTCTAATCAAAATTAATTTTTTTCGATCTTTAGTCATATTAAGTATTATTTCTTTCCGTTGCATAAAGAAGTTCTCATTTCGGTTAACGATATGTGACTAATGATAAAGCAAAACAATCCTTGCTAATACTCACACTGTTTTTAGTAAATAAAATTTACATATTCAGAAAATACATAAAAAATTCTACAAAGTCATAAAAAGATAATTCAAATTTGATAAAAGTTCGATATATAAAATAAAAAATTAAGAGTGAATTAAGTTGAGCAAGTAAATAATAGTGAACGAGAACTTCATTTCAGGATGGGGGTAGTATAGTGGATTTTGTTCCTCTCCATTATAGAGAGAGGTGGGGAAATGGTGGGGTGGGAAAAAAAGAAAAGATTATGTTTAAATATTACTACGTATTTTTAAAAAGATAGATAGAGTGAAAAAGAAATGGAGAGAGTAAATGGAGAGAATGAAATGACAAAAAGTATGACCTCACACAGGTAGTCCAACTGATGAAGCGATGAGAAGTTTAAAGACATGATAAATGATCGAAATCCACGATAACTATGTTGAGGTCACGACTCATGTGTGCTGGATTAGGTCTTTAGTGGTGATGGATAGTGTACCCGGGGGGTAGCTTATTCGGGGGTTATTGCGGGAAATAATAAGAGAGAAGTCAGAGCAAGTAAGTAGAGAGAGAAAGTGTATTCAGAAAGTATGCAGCGTTTTTGACTTGTGACTTGGTTACAAATGGGGAAATGGGGTGCTATTTATAGTAGCAATAAATGTCGGACAGGGACACGTGTCAAGCGCCCATTGGCCGAGAGGTCACCTCAATTGGTTGGCGCTGGCAGCCGCATGTGGCCGCATTTAATGCGGCTGTTGGATGAGACGTTGTACAGGGTACGGTGATCTGTACGCGTGTGATGCGGATATCATGTCGGGAGAGGTGCCCTCGGCTGCAGAGGACTAACCGAGGGCTCTTAGTGCCGAGGACCCCTGAGTGCCGAGGGCTCCAGGTGCCGAGGGCTACTGTTTTCTGCCGTTTTTCCCCAGTTTCTTAGTTTGTTTGAGAAACCCGTTCTGTGAGAGTTTTGAGCCTTCGGCCAGGGGGCCGAAGGCTCCCGAGTGTGCGCTGTGGGCTGCTAAGTGCTTGGGGTGCCGTAATTTGGGGCCTGTTGTGCTTCCTGGGCCGGTTGGGCCTTTATTGGTGTAGTAGGAGTCTGTGGGCCGGGGGTTCTCGGGCCATATACTCCATCAAGTGGGTACAAGTATAAGGTGTATTAACGTTAAAATTGGTTGAGTGATTTAACGTTATAAGGTGTATTAACGTTATAATGTCCCATTACTTGCGGAGGCTTGGGCCCGGGGATTCAGGTTGTTTTTACTTGGACTGTAATTCCTCTCAGATCAGATCAGAGCAGACCAGACCAGACCAGATCAGACTAGACCAGATTAGACCAAACTTGGATAGTTATAAAAATACAAAGAAACCAGACCAAACCAGACCAGACCAGCAAATTACGTTCCAAGTAAAAACATCATCAAGCTTCAATCAAAGCCGGTTTCCTGTGCTTCCTCTGTAAGCTACACTCTTCCGTTCACTATGAGCGTACATGATGAGTGAAACGCCCATATTCCCATCTACCGCTCTACCTACGTCTCTACCAGTCTCCGAATTGGCCACGTGGCTTTGCCATACTCCTAACATCCTACCTACCATACGGCTTCTTATTATTGCTGTTACTTGGTCCAAAAATGTTGCATCTCCCACCTGATGAACCCTTCATCCCAACTAAGTCAACAAAGCGGGATTAGGTCTTAAACAGGGGTGGACCGTAGTACAGATCCAGGGGTTAATGTCCTCCAACAAGAATTTTTTTAGTGTATATATATGTGAAAAATAATATTCTCCCTCCGAAAAAATATTTTGAACCTCCCAAAAAATATTTTCGCCCCCCAAGATGACTTTCCTTGGTCCGCCCCTGGCCTTAAACACGTACGCACTAGAAGATTCAGACTTATTTCATTTTCTATAATCTCCACACGACCGTTATGGGTTTCGAAACTTGATCACTCGGTTCAATTTTTTCACCACTCGACCAACTGAGCTATCCGTCGGGATGCTACTACAAACTCTCTTTCCAGCGCTGATCTGATCTGCGCACTACCTATATACACCATCGTCATCAGTCATCACTCTCTATAACCAGCGAATAATTATCACAAATATGTTATCTGTTGATACTCAAAAACCGGAGCTTGATGTTGCCGGTTCTACCAAGAATGCCGCACAGCCACAGTCTTCTCCCCCCTCTCGAGTTTTCCGATCAAGATTGCCGGATATATCCATAGCGAATCATATCCCACTACATAGCTATTGCTTTGAGAGTCTGCCGGAGGACGGTGACCGGACATGCCTAATCGTGGGATCCACCGGGAAAACATACTCCTTCGCGGAGACTCATTTGGCTTGCCGGAAAGTGGCCGCCGGGTTGCACAAACTCGGGGTGAAGAAGGGGGATGTAATTATGCTTCTCCTCCACAATTGCGCCGAATTCGTCTTCTCCTTCATGGCGGCTTCCATGATCGGCGCCGTCACCACCACGGCGAACCCGTTTTATAAAAAAGCTGAGATTTTTAAGCAATTTAATGCTTCCAAGACCAAGGTCATCATTACCCAGAACATGTACGTGGATAACCTCCGAGATTCCGGTGACGGGTACCCGAAAATCGGTGAGGATTTCTCGGTAGTCACAATCGACGACCCGCCGGAGAGTTGCTTGCATTTCTCTGTTCTGTCGGAAGCCAATGAGGATGATATTCCGGCGACGGTGGAAATCAGTTCCGATGACCCGGTGGCGCTTCCTTTCTCGTCGGGGACCACGGGGCTGCCGAAAGGAGTGGTCTTGACGCACAAGAGCTTGATCACCAGCGTGGCCCAGCAAGTCGACGGCGAGAACCCGAACCTGTACCTGAACAAAGACGACGTCGTACTCTGCGTGCTGCCGCTGTTCCACATATTTTCTTTGAACTCTGTTCTACTCTGCTCCCTGCGAGCAGGGGCGGCGGTATTGTTGATGCCGAAATTCGAAATAAATGCGCTGCTGCAGCTGATAGAGAGGCACCGGGTGTCCGTGGCGATGGTGGTGCCGCCGCTCGTCCTAGCGTTGGCGAAGAACCCGATTGTGGATACGTACGATTTGAGTTCAATCCGTCTGGTGCTTTCCGGCGCCGCGCCGCTGGGTAGGGAACTCGATGCTGCACTCCACCGCCGAGTCCCGCATGCCATCTTTGGTCAGGTAACAATAACACGAATGCTACATGCCCTGTTAGACAACTTAGACATCTTACATTTTAATTTGCCTCAACTTATACATCTTTGGTCAGGTAACTATAACACGAATGCTACATTTTAAGTTCCATTTCCGCAAGGTTATTTACATTTCTAATTGTTTCAAGTTAAATTTTCATTAACATGATTTTATTTGATTTTATTTGGACTTGTTTCAATTTATATTTTAATTAATGGGGCTTATATTTCGACTTGATTCACCGAGTTGAAATCTGCAAACAATGTTCTAAAAGGCCTGACCTGTTGAGGTGTCACTTCGAAGCCTTAAACCTTTGAAAGCTTAGGCGGGGGTTGAGGCGTGAAAAGGCATTTTAAGTTTTTTCTTTTATTTTAATTTCCCTGGAGCTACTTTTAAATCTTTATATAGAATATTAAATAATTTTATTTAAAAGTGTCATAGTATTCAAATTTTCAACAAAAATAAGTTCTATATCTTGCATATATGTTTACGAGTTACACAAAAACCAGAAATAGAAAAACGTGTTGAATGATAAAATTACTAAGAATAAAAAGAAATAATATATAGTATATGATTAAATAATGATATTTGAACAAAAATGTGATTGAGTAACTTTTAACGACTATATTTAGATTCTAACTTCATATTTTGGTGATCATAAAAATATACTTACGGTTATTAGTCACACTTTTTGTCCACCGTTATTAGTCACACTTTTTGTCCATTATATTTATTTTAATATTCTTTAATACTTGAGATAAAATCTCTAATAAAAGTAATAATAGTAAGGATATTTGCATATTGGTACTGATAATATAAAATAAAATACGAAGTATTAAAATAACAATAATGTAATACGGATTACATAATACTTCATACGTAGTACACTACCTAATTAATTACTAGTATATAAATTACAAATTATAATAATAGTAGTGGTTGATACGGAGCACCCGGTGGGCAAAGAAGAATTGTGTGCTACGTTTCTGAACCATACAACTTATAAATTACTCATCTTACCTACCTAGCTTCTTCATAAGGTCGGTGGAGAGGTTTTAGGAGTTCAAAAGGTTAAAAATTGAACTTTTGGACTCCTCATTGACTCCCGAATGATGATATCATCTCTATATGTTATTAAATCTCAAAATTTTAAAAACTCATATAACTTTGTTATTTATATTCCAATTTTTTCAAAAAACATATCAAAATTCATGAATTTTCGTGATCTTTCGTATGACACCAATATGTAACATATAAAATGAAAAAAAATCAGAAATTTTAACTGTTGAAGTTTGTCTGAGCCCCAAAACAACATGAATCACAAATTTTTAATTTATCGAGCCTTCACAAATAACTAAATATTTCATAATCAAACTTTACTTGAATTAAGTTCATTTTTGTTAACCGAAAAACATTAAAAAAATTAATGAAATTTATTTATTTTTCCGTCGAAATGTGTATTTTTTACTTCACAATTATTTAGGGAAAATAATAAACGGAAAACATTACTTATAATAAATTAATTAATGTTTTACTAAATTGATATGTAAAAGAAATTGTTAAGTGTATTTTATTGACGGTGCACGAATGCAGGGAAAAACGGTATTTACGAAGTCTAAACACTGTTTTCCTATGGACGGTCTATTGTGCGTGTCAAAATCGGAGGCTGGTATATTTTTCTGCCGCCTTTTGCCACGCCTAAGGCTATGCAAAGGCTATGCGAGGCGTTTCGCTTGCGCTTCTCGGCGTTTCGCTTGTGTGTCTGCAACACACATCATTTATAGTTTACATTTTGATTTGTTCGAAATAATATTTTACATGCACATGATTTACATTTATTGAATCCTGAGTTACATTTAAGTGCACAGAATTCACATCACGATAAATATCGTCATTTTAGCTACGTCAGTGTCATGTTCACTATGGGTCGCTCTCGCACATTGTATAATAATTGAATCTATCTTACAACTTGGAATGAGTAAAAATTCATCTCGTTAATTTTTAGTAATTAGTAGAGAAAAATAATTAAAATGTCTCAAACATGAACACCCCCAAACTTCCATATGTAATTTAAACACCTCAATCTTTGTATAAAAAATTATTTTAGGACCATAGTCAAGATTTATTATTTTTTAAAAATGTAAATTTATCGTGTTAATTGAATAATTTATAATATTTTAGAATTCATGAAGACACAATCAACATTCTAAACTTCCAGTGCAAAAATAACTTTTTTTATAAATTTTGGGGTATTTAAATTACATATGCAAGTTTGGAGTGTTTACCTCACATCCTTTCAAAATTTGGGGTATTTTTATTATTTTTCCCTAATTAATTTACCAAAAAGAATGCTTGGTGATCTATAATTTAACACTTCAAAATTTCAGCCCCATTTGTTTACTAATTACTAAAATTTCCGGCCTAACTCTATTTATCAAAGATGATGGTACTAGTTATTTTTATATTCTTTTTGTTTATTACATAAATACACTTTGCATTATAAAAAGATGTAGCTCATGGCAAAATGGCATCTCTTAAATGTAAGAGTTGGAATAGGGTTCCATGTATATAGGAGGCAAGTCTTACCCCTTGGGCCTCCATGTAATAGGGCAGGAGCCCTATTACACATCAAGTAATAGGTTTATGACTTGTGACTTATAAGTATTTGCGAATAAGTAATAGGTTTATGACTTATGAATGTTGATACATTTGAAATTGCTAAAATGAAAGTCCCTCGTGATGTTGTGTCTAAATTGGTTGATTGGATGTGATTTTACAAAATGAACGTGTAAGGGACAGAATAAGATAAGAAGGTTAAGGTAAGCTAGCCAATGTTTTCTCCACCCTCTTGTAAATTTCCCAACATTCTTTTTTTCTATCCCGTTAACTTCGTCATTTTTCCTTTTAAATACATAATTTGTGAATCGATCTTATTATTTCTCTCTGTTCTGCATAAATCTTGCTCATATAATTTTTACTTTATTATTTTACGTGTTAGTCAAATGTAATAAAAATCAACCAAACAAGTAATCACTCAACGACTTCTTCTTTGGATGAAGCTCAAATAGGGTCATTTAGGGGTGCTTCATGATTTTTAACCTGTTTTCCACGCTTACCAAAGTGTATCTTAATCTTACCAATGCTCTAAATTCGGGGGGAAATGTTAAAATGCAGGGGTATGGAATGACAGAGGCCGGACCAGTGATCTCAATGTGCCCGGCGTTCGCAAAGCATCCCCTCCCGGCAAAGTCAGGCTCATGCGGCTCTGTGGTCAGAAACGCCGAGCTGAAGGTGGTCGACACCGAGACCGGTTGCTCTCTTGGCAGCAACCAATCTGGAGAAATATGTATACGCGGATCTCAAATCATGAAAGGCAAGTCACCTGTCTTGAATCTTTCCTATTTTTTATATAACTAATTACTCTTTCTATATCAGAATAAGTGTCACATATTTCTTTTTTAGTTGTATCAAAATAAACGTCACATTTATTTTTAGAATGTATAGTAAATTTATAAAGTATCTTAAATCTACTCTTACATGGTTCGAATTATGATACGGAGGGAGTAATCAATAAACAATATCTTAACTCTGAATTCGGTTATCAGAATACCTGAATGATCCGGAAGCCACCGCTCGAACGATTGATGTGGAGGGTTGGCTCCACACAGGTGACATTGGGTATGTGGACGACGACGACGAAGTGTTTATCATTGACAGAGTGAAGGAACTCATCAAGTTCAAAGGCTTCCAGGCAAGCCACTAAATCCATCTTATTCAATCTCCCTTCAGAGTTCAGATAATGATAATTAGAGCTGTTGTTTTTATTCTTAATTGATTAATAATTAGGTGCCACCAGCTGAGCTCGAAGGTCTGCTCGTCACCCACCCGATGATCGTGGATGCTGCCGTTGTACCGTAAGTAGTGATCATCCAAAGTTGAATTGGGATGGATGGCAGTAGTTCTTTTCTGAAAGAATTAGGACAATAATTCTTGATGTACCCGTTTTTATAAACATTTTTTCAAAATTTTTCATTCTTAAACGAATTAAATGTGTAAACAAATCAAAGCGGGCGTGTACAAAAGGAATTTTTCTTAATTCCCTGTTAAGAAAGTTCCAAGATGATGTTTGTAAGTTATGTGACATTTTGCCATATTTGACAAAAAGATGTTTTTGATAAAGTAGGACTACTTGGATACACTATATTAAAGCCAATATTGGGTTATATTCTATTATTTATTCTATTCTGGAATAGTTGGTTTGAAATGAAAATTTGAGATGTGATATTAAACGATTGCATCCATAAATGTGCAGGCAGAAAGATGATGGAGCAGGGGAAGTCCCTGTGGCGTTTGTGGTTAGATCATCCGATGGGGTCGATCTCACGGAAGATTCTGTAAAAGAATTTATTGCCAAACAGGTGCCATTTCTTTTACACAAAATAGCAGCCTAATGCAGTTAGACCATTTGGAGTGGTGGGAGAGTCTAAATGTCAAAAATGGATTCCGTCCATATGAAAACAGTGTTTTGACTCCTATTTCTCTGCATTCCAGCACCGTCAATAAAATACACTCTGCGCATTTTTTTACATATCAATTTAGTAAAACATTAATTAAATTATTTTAAGTAATGTTTTTCTTTTAATTTTTTCCTGATTAATTATAAAATAAAAAAGACACTCCAATTAGCACCTCTTCTTGAGGAAGACATCACAAAAATTTAGATAGTAAAGAAAATATGATGAAGAATGAGATACATGAGAGATGCGTGATTAAAATAGGAAGAAATGAAGTGTTTATATATGATTTTAGATCAAAATATTAATTGAAAATAAAGGAAAAATAAAATAAATTATTTTAACCGTTGGATTTCAATTCTAGCTGTTGGATCATTTTTTTACGTTCAAACAGTGTACAGATCATCACAACCGTTGGATCTACCAATTTTTTTTAATTACAAACAAGCTAGAAGTGCCCAATGACACCATCATGACGTCATGCAATGAATTAAAACCTCCCCTTTCCTCTGCGCGCAACAGCCTGTCCTTCCCCACCCTTTTTTTTTTACTTTTCCTTTTCCATTTAATTTGAGGGAGTCAAACTCCACCCTTCAAATTTGAAACCCTCCATCCCATTACCCACTTTTACTATCCCAGATTGTGAACCACTACAAGGAATTAGGAATCCAAAAATTCCACTTTTACTACCCCAAATTGTGAACCACTACAAGGAATTAGGAGTCCAAAAATTCCACTTTTACCATTTTGGACTCCTAATCTTACACCACTCCAAGTGGTCTAGCTTCTGCTTATTTCTGCTTTCTGGGCATATTCATTAGTTTCAGGTTTCTGTCCTAAAAGTTAGAATTGTTGAGTATCAGTACGATTGTTTGAAATATGAAGTAGATACGAGTATGATTGGAGTATACCGTATGTTTTTTGTTAAAGCAAAGAAAAAATCATGAGTAGTACACCCTATGGAAAAAATGTACTCTTCTGCGAAATGAGTCAATATAGTAGGATAGTATTATTTATACTCCCTCCGCCTCAATTTCTTTTGTGAACCGTCCTAAAAAATAGTTTTCATTTTTCTTGTTAGAACGTTTTGTGTGATTATCATTCATTTACTTTTTTATTATTCAATCATAATCATACTTATCACTTTATTCTCACTTTCTTAAATTTCGATCTAAATTCTAGTGAGAACTATTTTATGGGAAGGATAGAGTATTATAATAATGGTGATTTTTCTATTTTGTCCACTAACTTTTTACAGTAAATGTTCTTTAATAAATGTCAAGATTTTTGAGTTGGGATGAGTTTCAGCCTTGTAACTTCTTTTAAATTGTCACAATAATGTTATCGAATCATAGAGGGCTTACACAATACACCAAGGGGGTGTTTGGAACTGCGTGTGCTTCTTTTTTAAAGCAAAAATAGAATCAGAATCAGTTTTCAGAAGTTGGTCTCCCACATCTTCTAAAAGAACCGTTTCTATGAGTAAATTAGAACACCATAAAGTAATTCTACACTTTCACCAAAACACTCCAACTTCTGTTTTTATAGTTTCAAATAGTTTCATATTCAAACACCACATAAGTCACTACCATAGTAACACGCATTTTGTTTCTTTATAAATGTGCAGGTGGTTTTTTATAAAAAACTACACAAAGTATACTTCCTCCAGACCATTCCAAAGTCAGCCTCTGGGAAAATATTGAGAAAAGAACTGCGGGAAAAACTAGCTGGACAACTTCACGCGCCATAAGATTGTGTTTGCTCTATACTGTAATAACATTTAGGGCAAGTTGTTCCCTAAACCGTTGATTAATTCGTTATATATCTTTTGTTATATTCGATTTGTAAGCTGCAACGTTGGTCAAATAATATCCATTTGATTTGTATGCTTCATATTTTCTAATGACTCTTCTCACTTTTTTATTACTCCCTCCGTTTCCAAAAGAAAGTCACGGTTTGACTTCATGATTATTAAGGAAATAAATTGACTTTACTGTAGAAAACACTGTTTAGACACTGTTTGGCACTGTTTGGCATTGTTTCGCACTGTTTGGCACTGTTTGGATGTAGATTTCTTTGCCAAATAAAGAAATAAGGGAAATGTGACTTTGTTTTTGAAACATCTCAAAAAGGAAAGTGTGAGTTTCTTTTAGAAACGGAAGAAGTATTACCTTGTGACAAGTACATATCTGTAATGGATATGTAAGAAATTACTTCAATTATGACTAAACCCCAATAAAATGAACAAATAAGATTAATTAGTTTTTTTTCCAAAAAACTAATTTGGATTGAATTAATTTTTTAAGAATATAAAACTTTTCTAATTTGGATTGAATTAGACCTATTTTAAGAGTTTAGTCCTATTTGTACACTTTAATTTGTCTATATATGTTTCAGCCTTATTTACGAATTTTCTCAAATATTGGTCAAAGTAAATTTGGACTAATTTTCAAGTTCCTACTTTTCTTTTTTGGATGTTTCTCATTAAAGTTCTATTTCCTTATTTGATAAATAAAACAATGTAAAACAGTACCAAATAATGTCAAAACAATACTAAATAGTGTCATTTTCTTAATATGAGTGCAAGTCAAAGTGGGAACTTTAAATAGGAACGGATGGAGTATATGATACATGTGTACAATGTCATGCACGTCTAAATGTTTCTGACATTGTGGATAAAAAGCGGTCGAAAATATAAAAGAACGTTAAACGAAATATTACTGATCAATTTAATTTTTATATATTCATTGTCGTGTATATTGAACACAAGCTCTAGTTTCTAACGCATTAAGAAGCTAGACAATCCAAATGCAATGTCGCCCCAAACCCGAAAGTGGTTGGGGTTGGGCGATGGGGTCGTTTCGTGTCACTAGCAGTGGGGTCATTGTGGTCACCGGCCGAGTGGTGGTCACTGTGGAACTGGGTTTGAAGATAATCACTAGGATGGATGGTAGCATGTCTGTAATATCTAAGATTAGCTTAAAAGGATTAGTAATAGTACTCGTGCGAACAAGGTGCACCTTTTTTAAGGAAACTCATGCTTTAAAAACTTCAAGTTAACCATGTTTGTACGGGAGTACTCTTAAGATGAGTGATCCTCTAGTACGCGATAAGGTCTTGTGTTGATTTGTGATGACAGTACTAGATTGGGTTACTTTGGTAGCATCCAATAGTAACGTGCATGGATCCCATGGGGTTGGGTATTACAAGGCATCATCACGATGTCACGGTGTCACTGATAAAAATAGATCACTGTCGGAGTCGTGTAATTGGCGGCAGTGGAGTAACTAAGTAGTGGGTCACAAAAGTCATAGACTTAATAGTGTACAGGTTACTGAATCTGGGTAATGTCACTAATATTAATCAAATAAATTTAAAACTATAAAAATTGTGAAGGGCTCGTTTGTTTTCATGATTAGTTAAAAGCAAGACATTGTACGTCTGCATAAGAACGGAATATTGCATTGACAAGGCACTACAAAAGAAATCACCACCAATGGGACACTTGATAGTTCTACATAGTGGTGGGCATATCAGTTTTAGTTAAGTTGTTTCAATTTTTTATTCGATTTGGTATGAAACTATTGAAAGATTTATGGAAAAAGATTCAAATACACCCTTCTAGGGTTTCAAATTGGTCACTTAAACCCTTATACAATAAAAAGGTCATATAAACTCGTCTACTCAAAAAACAATCAATCCAACCAAAATACCTCGAAGGTGACCTTTAATAGGAGGTCATCCTCCCTTTTTCTCTCTCATATTTATTTTTACATTTTCTTTTTATTAGTTTCCTCCACAATTCCCACCATCAGTATGTGTTTAGCTTAGCCTAACCAATTTTTCCATTAAAAAACTGTCCCACTAGGGAATCGAACCCTGGTTGCACCCGAGAACCTGTGAATTCCAACTCATCTACACCCTTTGTTACGTTAATGTTTGCTTCTAAATATATTTATTATTGTACATATCACACCATTATTATTTAATTTAAATAAATTTGTAATGGTTTTTTTACAAAAATGTTACTAAAATTAAGCGTATTATTTTTACTAAAATTTAATAATTACATATTGGGTTTTTAAAAAAATGTTACTAAAATAAAACATAGGAAAAAGGGGCAAATAAGCCCACGTACTAACCAAAAAAGGTCAAACTAGACTTAATGAATAAGATTCTCAAAAAAATCATCAAAAAAATCCACTGGGAACTGCCCCAAATGGAGACGACCGAACAGAGCCTCCTATTTTTATTATCACTACAAAAAAACATGAGTTTGACAGAGATTTTGGCAAGGATTTGTCAGGGAATTTGGTAGGGATATGCCAAATCCGTACCAAAAACACTTTGGCATGAGCTATTTGGCACAAAAAATTGGTAAATCCGTGTCAAATTCTGTGTCAATCCCGTAATTTTGTTGTAGTGTATTATATTGTACAAATAAACTATGGAGTACTTTTGAATGTTTGATATTTTTACGATCTTAATATAAAGATAAAATATATTTTAGTAATATTTTGGGAAGATAAACAACATTATCTTATTTGTGCATTTACAGATTTGTTTTTGGTCTATTTTCTGTTTAATGTAACATATAATCAATTATATTGTATGTTTAGTTTTCTAATAATAGTGCGAGCTATGACATTATTTATACGTTTTGAGGTAGTTTTTTCACAAAAATACAACTAGTAGAGTTCGTACACCATTCATGGTGCTCACATAATGTCAACGGTTCGAATTCCCATGGAGGTGGTAGTTTTTATTAAAGCTTTTGGTGAGGGCTACGTTTGGATGCGAGATGGCTTCCTACATGGCTTGCCATTAATTAATGCAAAAAAAAATAAATATGGCACCAACCGAGCAAGTGAAGGATGACCTGTTATAATAGGTTACTTTTGGGTATTTTGGGTTATATGATTGTTTTTTAAAGTAGGTGGGTTTGTATGACCCTTTTTATAGTACAAGGGTTTAAGTGACCGATTTGTAATTGTAGAAGGGTGTATTTGACCCTTTTTCCAAGATTTATTACCAAACCAAAACCGTATAGTATTTCGGTTTGATTCAGTTCGTTTTACTATGATTCGATTTGAATTTGTTGATTTTTAACAATATAGTAAAGCTTTATTGAACTTTTTTTAGTCCGATTTAGTTTTAGTTTGAATTTTCGCGATTTCGATTCATTTAATACAGTTTAGAAGAAATGTCACTAAACTCAAACCAAATTACATATGGTTCGATTTCAATTTGATTTAATTCGATTTTAATATGAATTGGTTCGGTCAATTTGAACCAATATGCACACCCATAATTCGGAATAATTGAGGTTGTTCACTTCCATATTCTTAAAATTAATAATGGAATTATTTATAACTTAAAAGAAAGAATTGTGTGGCTTTGATTTTTCATCAACTATAATAGACATTTAAAATAAAAAATTATTTATTAATAACGAGAACATAGCTCTTATTGAAGTGCAAGCCGTTATTAACAGAAATTATAATTCCTAAAACGTCTTTTAATAATGACTTACTCTTTTTAATACACATGTACATTTCATTATTTGTATTATTGAAAATACATTTTAAAAAAGTTTGCATTGCCCGAGTGTTTTTGTAAGTTTTTTCTTTTCCGTTTCAAAATTCAAATAGAATAGTCATTGAGAATTGGGATACAACGTAGAAAATTTATTGTTAAAATTCTATTTAGGGATCTACAATAATTACCCATGTTCGTATTGTACACAAATATAATCAAAACTAGCAATAATGTTCATAAGAATAAATTGGGATGAATTCAAATTAATACTCGTTTAATACTCTCAACTCTTACTCTCGTTTTTCTCTTCCCCACTCTTCTTCCCAAGTCAATTTCAAACTAAAATCCGGTTTAATCTCAACACTATTTCCACATGTGGTTCTCTTTAGATTAGGACATAAAAGTATTAATTGAAAGTATTAATTGAGACGAACAGTGGTGAAAGAAAAAGTTGAGATAAGAGTTGAAAGTACTAAATGGACATTAGTATGAATTCACTCCAATTTATTCTTAAGAACATTATTACTAATATAGATTATTTATATGTATATTCTCGGTATGGATTATTATTGTAGAATCTATAAAAGTATAGACTATTTTCGTCTTAACCAATTCAAGTAAATAGTTAATGTTTTTTGCACAAGGACTGACCGGTCTAGTTATCTAGTACCGAAAGTCTGAAACCCAGCCAAAACCAAATCCAATCAGTTCCTACTCCACCCTACTTCCCTCCCTACTGTTGCCGAAAACTACTTTCAGTGACAAACTTGAAAGTCGTGGAAAGTCATTGCTGATACCACCGACATAGGGATGGACTAAACCGGCCCGGCCCGACCCGGAACCGGCCCGGCCCGTTACTGTTTGGGCCCGGACCGAACCGGGACCGGTTGGCCGGTTCCGGGCTTTTAGCCCGTTTGGGCGGGTCGGACGGGCCAGGCTCGGGCCCAACTTTTGGTGAACCGGCCTGGGCGATTCGGGTTGAGCACGGTTCAAATTTTTTTTTACAATTTTTTATGCTTTTCTAGGTTAGGGTTGGGTGTTTTGGGGGCGTTTGAGGGGTGGGGATGAAGGGGGGGGGGGGGGTCGGGTGTTAATTAGAAACCCAAAAAAAAATTGAACTTGACCCGGCCCCGGCCCGGTTAGGCCCAGACATTTTGGGCCCGGCCCGATGTCAACCTAGGCCGGTTCCGAGCCTAACATTTTGCGAAAAAAGCCCATCCGGGCCCGGCCCAGAACCGAAACCGGACCTGCCCGAGTCCATCCCTACACCGGCAATGGCAATAACATCAACAGTGACTTCTATCAACAATATTAGTCGTGTTTTTGGAGTTGGACTTCAATATACTACGGTAGGGATGGACTAAACCGGCCCGGCCGACCCGGAACCGGCCCGGGCGACCCGGAACCAGCCCGGACCGAAACCGGTTGGCCGGTTCTGGGCTTTTAGTCCATTTGGGCGGGTCAGGCGGGCCAGGCTCGGGCCCAACTTTTGGTGAACCGGCCTGGGCGGTTCGGGCCGGGTTCATTTTTTTTCAATTTTTTTGCTTTTCTAGGTTAGGGTTGGGTGTTTTGGGGGGTGGGGGTGAGGGGTGGGGGTGAGGGGGGGGGGGTCGGGTGTTAATTAGAAACCAAAAAAAAAATTGAACTTGACCCGGGCCCAGCCCGAACCCGGTATCAACCTGGGCCGGTTCCGGGCCCAACATTTTGCAAAAAAAGCCCGCCCAGGCCCGGGCCGGAACCAGACCGGCCCGGGTCCATCCCTATACTACGGTGTAATATTCAAAAAACACTAAACTCAATATTCTACAGAGTAATATTCCAGGAAAACCTCCAAAAAGAAATTTTCTGATGAGCAGAGAAAAGATGCCCACTATAGCAGGCAGCAAGTAATTTCACCATACGATCAAACAATATAATGGTGACATTGTATTACAACAGAACTGGTCTTAGTGAACCAGAGAGCAAAACCCAAATACGTTGTCACAAAGTGCAAAATGTAAAATAACAGTAGTTCCAGTACAGCAACACCACAACACTTGGTAAGCAATTGTTCAATCAAAGCAATCCGACATCAAAGTGAAATACCAAAAGATCATAACGATTTCATTGTTTTGGAAAGGCGTGTCCGTGTCACAACAAAGACGTCACTGAGAGATGGAATATCCTGTCAAGGAAACACAAACATAATTTTTTAATCCCATTGATATTTCCTTTCCATTGAAGAATAAAAAATGAAAGAAACATGGAACTTCCACGAAAGAAAAGCCCATGTCACAGCTTTAAATAAGGCCAATATACATACATTGACATACAAGATAATGATTATTGTAATCTTAGAGATTCATAAGATTTGAATTGTGATTTCACTACATCCTTATTCCTTTACCATGTGGAATAACATTGTACGACACACACAGAAACTAATGCAAATAAAGAACAAACTAAGAGGCAAAATATAGATAAGAACATAAGCCTGCAGAGGCTAAATATATTCATCTCACCTTATCCTCAGTTTCAGTTTCTTCCATAGTGGTTTCCAAATTAGCATCCTAACAAAGTCCGTTAAAAGGAATCAGTAACATCAACTATGTTTGTAAAATCTGGTGGATCTGCATAAAAATAAATCATGAGTAGAAAGTTGTCTATAAAAAACTGCTTTATGTTGACAATTGTAATCTAAAGAAGAAAATTCACAAACAATGATTACATAAAATTTAGCTATCACTTTTCCACAAGGCAGATGTTTAATTTTAATAAGTGTAGCACTTAGTCACGATTGATATCAAGAGAAGTAAATGAAATCTAATATCCATGGTTCAAAAAGGGGGTTAAGAGGTGGGTTTTGAGGTGCACCTCAATGTGAGGCGCATAGATTAGATATTGAGGCTTAGGTTGTTTTTTCAGGACAAGAGGCTTACACCTCAAGGAATTTTTTGAGGCAGGGAATTCGTTGTTTGTATCTTCTTACTAAGGTTGTAAGACTTGTAACATATATAAGGTCCAGTAAATTTTATTTAATAAGAGGCTCATACATTAAACATGTGACCACATATATGTTCTAAACCCTAACAAGTCTGGCAAGTGAAAATTGTTGCAATATTTGCATACTGTTGCACAATGACAAGAATGATGGAAGGGATGATGGTGTTAAGGCTATAAGATATGATGATAGTGATAAGGCTATAAGATATGGTGATTAAGATTCCATTGTGTCATGTGTGTGATGTGTTTGTTTGTGTGTTGAGATTCTCATTTTGAATTATCATGTTTGATGATGTGATATGTTTGCGTTTGAGACGTCGAATTTATATTTATGCATATCTTTAGTTATTTTTAGTTATTTAAAATTGTATTTTTTGATATATTTAGAGGCTTACGCCTCAAGTCTTACGCCTCACCTCTCCAGGACAAACCATCTCGATATCCGAACTAGCCTTTTTAAACCTTGGTTATATCATCGCATTTTATGTTAATCTTCAATTTCTATAAAATCTCAAATATACTTATCATGATATATGAACTAAATCCCTATCCAAAGCCTTCCGTGACTTCCCTCCAAGCCTCCTCAACGCAAACATGGCCTAAGGAAAAATGCAATGAAGAAATGCAAATTAAATAAGCTCAAATAGAACCACATACCTTTGTATTCCCTCTCAAAGTCTGTGTTAAGTTTGATAGTTTACCACAAGATCTAGCTTCTCCTGCTAACGAGTTAACAATTTCATTCAAGGATTTCAATTCTTCATGGAATTCTGGATGAAGGACCAGAGTAGAAAAATGCTCATCTAGTAACAATCCTAAGCATATAATGATATCTTCAAGTCTTGGAACCCAATCACAAGCTGTCAAACCCAACACAGAGGATGCCTCAGGACAAAGACACACATCAGGGAAACTATCATACTTCTTCAGCCACTTCCCCAAGTACCGAACAAAACGCATCATTTCTGAACCATCTAAGTTGCTGATACAAGCACCCAATATCACTTCATCGTAGTTTCTTGATGATATCAGATAATGTAAACACAAATCTGTTCCAGAGAACCCATCATAAGCTATCATTAATAATAAAGAAGCATCTCTCACCAATGTCAACTTTTTCCTAAGGTGTTTATCCTTGACCTTCTCAATTGCCAACAGTGATTGGCCATCACACTCCTTCAATCGTTGTATGGCCAACAATGCTTGACTTTCCCATTCTTTCCTGACACTTAGAATACTATCATGCCCATCTTTAGGTAGTGATAGAAAATACTTCAAAATGCACATGACATCATTAGCTTGGAGATCGGAGAGATGCTTTACGCACAAAACAATCAAATCTGCTCTGTTCTTTTCAATCAAATTACTAATTAAGCTTGAAAAATGTGAATGCTCAACAAGCCCATTGACCATCAGACTCTCTAACACCTCCCAGCACTCAAGATAAACACAGGCCTCCAAAACAAGTCCCTTCACATCTCTACCCATGAATAGTCCCGACTTTCCAACTAATTTACCAACATAACCTTTATCAGACTCAGTATTATTATCTGCAGTGCCTAATTTCCTTGCAATGCTCACAAGATATGAACCTAGGATCTTCAAAAACTCATCTTGGTTGAAAGTGTTAGGGTTTTTAAGCTTCCTTTTCAGTTTTTTGAAGAAACTTTGCCCGAGCTCAATGATTTCAGTGTCACGTTCGGAGACTTTCCAACCAGTAGCTCGTTTAACTGGCAAGTCATCCTTCGCATCAAGATCTTGGGGTTTCAGTTCGAAGATAACAGCTTCAGGGTTCAAGATGATTGGGTACTTAAGAGCAGCTTCAGGTCGGTTTTTCTCGACTGATGCTTTGGTGATTACTTCAAGCAGAGACATCTGTCCTGAGTACTAAAATAACATGTTACTGAAGAGCATCAATATCTTTTGTAAGTTCAGATCTTAAAACACATTTATGTTCACTATGATGGAGAAGGATTACTGCTGTTCCAAAAAATTATGTTGAAGATGTTTAGTCACAGCAGCAGATCCAGAAAAAAACTTATTGGAACAGAGTAACTAAAAACACATCAGAAGAACAAAAATAAACATATTAGAAAATCACTTAAAAACTTATCCATATTTCTATTATGCAAATTAGTCTTCACTAATTTCATAGTGGAAAAGAATCTCTCTACAGTTGTGTGGCAACTGTCAAAGTTAATGCTGGTTTTAAAAGCTTATACACCATAGGATGTAAGAAAGATGCCTCCTTGTGCCATCCATCACTGGAGCAGATCTACCAAGACTTTTTCTACATTTTGTGTTATTTGTAATTAATACATTTTATTCCCCCCCCCCCCCCCCCCATATTGAAATATTTGCTACTCTTTCCTTTTCGGGATGCGTTTTAATTTTTGCTACACTTTCCGTTGTTGGTAAGTTTTCCCTTTAAAATACTCAATTATCCTTACTTTTTCTACTTTTGATTTTCTCCTTCAGACATTTCCACCCTCTTCCATATTTTTTTCTACACTATTCATTACCCTACTAGTCTACTACTTTTCAATACAGAGATACTACGTAGTATTTAAATATCTAAATAACATATTCTTTACAATTTGGATCCATAACTATCTAGATGAAATCATCCAATAGTGTTAATTATCTTAGCAGGGCCGGTCCTGAGAAAATGGAGACCCTATGCAACAACAAAAAATTGGGCCTTTTTCAAGTTCCAAGTAAGTAATTTGTATTAAAATACAAGTTACTAATGAACACAATAACATTAATAAAAGTAGTCATAAATAAAATACTTTTCATTTAAAAAGACACATTTTTCTGGCTTATTTAGAGGCAAAGTCATCTGCCAAATACAATTATTGAAATTCTCTCCTACTCTTGTACATGTATAAAAAATCTAGCTTAAAATTCAATTTACATTTTCGGTGAAATAATGAAATAATTACTCCAGTATAATTTATAAACATAAAGATATACTTAGCAGTTAACAGACTTGCACCAATTTCTTAAATCTTAATTGAATAATTGTTAAACACGCTTATTCTGAATTGCAAATAGGCACAACAATTAGGCAACAAGCAGGAAAACAACAAGAACAAACTAATTTCACTAATTGCAATTCAAAGAATCAAAGAAATCAGAAAATCATAGTGCTTACGGCCCAGGGAAGGTGGACTGTCGGACTGGTAGGGTGTCGTGCACCCGTGTGGACGGACGGTGCGCTCGTGGTTTTAAAGGATGGAGACGGGACGTGGTTGCGTAGTGGCAGGCTGGAGGGCGCCACTAGCTCGTTGCGAGGCGTCGGAGCTCGTCTTCTACTCTTCCGCACTCCGCAATTCAAAGTTCGTTGCTCTGTTTTTCACTTTTTCCTATTCGCAGGTCAAAGCCAAAAACCTGGGCTGAGTAATACTATTTTTATTCGCAGGTCAAAGTAAACCGCACTCCGCACTACTAATTTTTTATTTTTGGGTCTTATAAAATTTTGGGTACGGTGCGATCGGGCTGGGTACACTTGCCCTGGGCCAGCCCTGTATCTTAGTAAGTCATCAATTAAATATAATTCAATAGATTCAAAACCTTTTCACTAATCACCAACACTTTTAAGAACCAATAGATAATGAACTCAATATCTATATATCTATATATATATATCTATATATATATATAATAGTTCATTACATATATATATATATATATATATATATATATATATATATACATATATATATATATATAGGGAAGAGATCAAATAAAAAGAGGTTCTCCCGTGCAAAGTGCGAACAATTGCACTTTTTCTTCATCGCGTTGCACTTTTGCGTGTTTCTGTTGCACTTTTTCGCGATGGCAAAAAACTTCGTTTTAATTACGAAATTGCCACCGCGTTTTTGATCAAATTTAGTTCACTTTTGGCTCATTTTGAGCCATTAGATCTCAAAATGAACGCACGATATTAATTCTCACTTTGCATGGGAGGACCTCTTTGTACTTGAACCCTCCCCTACATATATATATATATATATATATATATATATATATATATATATATATGATGATTCAAATAGAAAGAGGTCTTCCCATGCAAAGTGATAATTAATCTCGTGCGTTCATTTTGAGATCTAATGGCTCGAAATGAGCCAAACGTGAACTAAATTAGATTAAAAAAAAAGCGGTGGCAATTTCGTAATTAAAACGAAGTTTTTTGCCATCGCGAAAAAGTGCAACAGAAACACGCAAAAGTGCAACGCGGTGAGAAAAAAGTGCAACCGTTCACACTTTGCACATGAGAACATCTTTTTATTTGATCTCTTCCATATATATATATATATATATATATATATATATATATATATAAGCTGGATCAGCTGAGATAACTTTTCAAATAAGGTAGGCAAATGAAAATTTGAGCCTACTGTAGATTTTAAATGAGCATTTTGAATTTTTTCATTGCTCATCTAGTAAGTTATGTATGCTCATTTAATATGGGTACAATACTCATTTTAAAATCTCATATTCATGTATATTTCAAAAGTATATTTTTAGATTAGATTCACATATTGGACTCAACAGATTCATTGTAGATATTTTAAAAAATATGAAAAAGAAAGTGAATTACAAAATATGAAGCAGCGATTACGAAGCTCATTATTAGACTCTTAATATTCAAAAAAATAGGTCTAATATCATTAAAAATGTATTAATGTTCATTCAACAGATGGCGAGATTTTGACATAATTTACAAAAATACCGTCGGTTGTACGGTGCAAGCTGAACAGCCGGTTGTACGGTATAGAGACTCTATAAATGACAAAAGGTACAAATAATAGATTAACTACATGGAGTCATGGATACAAAAAATAATGAAGCAAGTGCATAGAAAGTTAGAAACTAGAAGAGTAGATCAGATAATTGATGAAGAAGAAGCTGAAATTCAACTCCCAATTTGTATTCTTAAATACCTAAATAACAGCAACAAAAAATCGGGGAAACAATTCCACAATAATGCTAAAGTTTAAACAATGAACGATTGATGAATTAGACACATATATGAGGTGAATGATGAAGTAAAACAGTAATTTAATTACGAATTTGTGTTCTGAAATACCTAAATAAAAGCAACGGAAATATGAAAAAAAATCAGATATAATGCACACGTAAATTGATCAAGGATTGAAGAACACTATTGAAAGTTTGTAGAATTTAAGATTAAACATACTACAGGTCTTCAAAGTCAATAGCCGATTCTCAAAATTGGAACGAAAGAAAATAAAGAGAGGTGAGGAACAACGAACTTGAGTTGACGTGTAGCTGAATAACAACGAACAGAGGCGAAGGAACGGACTCTCAGAGAACGAAAAGTACAGAGCAGCTACGGAGGATTGTGTTTTACATATGCGAATAAACAAAGGCATTTTAGGAATAGGCAAAGGTGACTAATTAAAACAGTTCTATTTAGGAAATAAATAAGAGAGTAGTCTTTTTTTAAATCTTTCCTATTATTTCAGTCCTATTTAGAACAAATACTTATTTTCAATTGGTTAGCTATGTTATGGAGTGTACCCGTTTTCTTATTGGGGGGCACCTAATAAAATTTCCATGTGTCCATAATACTCGACTAGTTCACTGTTACAATGTTAGACAATTTAAATATGAACTATATTCATGTGAAAATAGTGCATGGACTCTCTCAATGCAGTTCTTTTCTACTCCCTCCGTCAAGAATTGTAAAGCACTTTACAATTTACGATGTTTGACCGACGATAAAGCAAATGGATCCACACTCAAATTTTTTTAGAAGAAAAGAATTACATATTCAGAAACTAGATTAAAAGCTTTACAAAGTCGCAAAACCAGAATCAAAATTGATAAAAATTTGATATATAAAATAAGAGATTAAGAGTAATTTGTGTTGATTAATTGAATAAGAAAAGTATCTTACAAAATGGGACTGATGGGGTACATTCCAGCATCATCTATAAATTTACTCATCATCTTTTTTACATATCAGATTCATAAAATACTAACTAAATTATTATTAGTAATGTTTTTCTTTGATTTTTTCAATATAATTTTGAAATTAGAAAATGCATAGTTCGGTGTTAAATAATAAAAATTTCATTAAATAATTTTTTCTTTTTTGGTTAATAAACACTAAAATACGTTCAAGTAAAGTCCAACTATTTGTGAGGGCACCATGGTAAAGAATTTGTGTTTCGAATTTTTTTTCTAAAAAATTCTCACAACTGGAACTTTAAATTTTTTAGACTATACTATATATATGCAATGTTAATCATTTGTCAACCCTTTAACTCTTCCTTCCAACACGTAGAACGCGTTCTTTTATCATACGTAGAGTATTATTTGTGGACAGTTTACTTTTTGTCACTGCTTGATGCTTACTTTCTGGAAGAATTGATGTGTTTTTATGTTGCTTCAACAAATAGATTTTGATGTGAAGAGCCTACTATTTTGTAAACATATATGCTTATTTTATGGATCTCTATTAGAGATCCATAAGAAACACAGCAATAAGACAAAAGAAACACAACAAAAACAGCAACAATAGAAAATCTAATTTGCTAGCAGGCACATGCACTTGCATGAAAACAAGCTTATAAATCAGCAAAAATTTTTATTTAGCTCCAACTTCAAGTCTTTTCAGGAATCGAATCCCCAAACTGTTCATAGACCTCAAAACTTCTTCAGCTTTGAGTTCCATGCCCGCCGACTTGTACAAATGCACAGCCATACTCAAAATTAACTTGTCTCTTTCAACAGAGTCTCTTATGCTCTCAAAAAAAGATATGCCTTCCTCTACATGCCCACAATCCATGTACCCTCTGAGCATACTACGGTTGCAATGAATATCAGGCTCTAACCCAGCTTTTCTAAGGTCACTATATATCCTTTCAGACTCCTTTATACGCCCATTTTTTGCGTACCCAGCTAGTAAGACCTTGAAATGAGCACACGAAAGAGCGACACCTCCGTTTTGCATTGATGTGATTGCCTTCTCTGCCTTGTCATACTCTGACCCCATCACATATGCGCGGATAAGTGCAAGGTAAGTAGTGGTGTCAGGTTGAATACCATTTCTCTGCATGCTATGGAAAACTTCTTCTGCTTCATGATGATAAGATCCAGCAGAAACATATGCATTCATCATAATGCTGTAGCACAACTACATGCCAGTCACATAAAACACATATTAGACTCCAAGAGGGAAAACTGTTGACAAAGGCACAAACTGATCCATTACCACACTAGTTATTCACCTACCTGGCCGGGTTTTATCCCTTCTTCCTGCATTTTGGTAAATAGGGTTGATGCCTCATGAATTTTCCCTACACATTATTAATCATAGACAAGAAGCTATTATACATCACAATATCAAGTAACAATGGTATAAACTAAACAAATTGCCTTAAATAGGAGTAAAAACAAGATGGAATTCCAAAATAGGAGCACGATGTTTTTATTCATTAAATAGGAATTATTACTGCCATGCTTCAAAAACACTGCATATTAAAGCCCATTGATAGCAAAATATGGCAGTAAAGTTTCAGGATGGCAGTAAGTTATGCGTGCTTAGGGTAAAAAAACAAAGATCTCCTATTTTGGAATTCTAAATTATTCTTACTTTTTACTCCTATTTCAGGAATTTTCCCAATAAACTATAAAGTGAGCCTATTACGGTATAAGATTCAATGGCATAGACAACCAGTACAAGATCTACTGGGCCTTATACTAGGTTCAAACGCACTAGACGACTGGAGTGGGATGCTCACTAAACACACCATCTTCAGCCCAAGTCAGGCTCGAAAACCGAAGAGGTGGACAAATGGGCCTATACTGACTCAAAACAGGCTGTCCCAGGCCACCCTTAGGGCAGACATCATACAAGCCACCGTGGGATACAATGTCAAATTAGGCCTAGCACCCCAAAATGATTCTCTTAGTAAATAAGGTTTACCTAAAACTTATATACTACATTCGAGCGTGACAACTAATGTGGAATGGTAAGCACACCATCATCAGCCCAAGTCAGGCACGAGAACCAAAGGCTGCACATATGGTCCTGAACTGAACCCAGAACGGGCTATCTGAAGCCATCAACAGGGGTGTACATCCCCCAGGCCACCGTCGAACAAAGACTCTTGATAAATCTAAAAATAGGCCTAGTACACTCCCAAAAGGATCAATAATAAATGTGGTTTACTTGACACTTATATTAGATTCAAACGCAATAAACAGCTGATGTGATCAAGGCACCATCTTAAGGCACCCAAGTTGGGGTCCAAAAAATGAAGACTGGACAAATGGGCCTATATTGACCCTCAAAACAGTCCAACCCAAACCACCAGTGGAGAGGGCATCACACAAACCACCGCCAGAACAAACTATGTACAGTAGAAAATTAGGCTTTACATCCCCCCAAAAGGAGCCTTAGTGCATGAGGTTTACTCAGCACTTATATACTAGATTTAAACGCAATAGGCAACTGGTGTGGGATGCTCAACACACCATCCTCAGCCCATTTCAAGCTCGAGAATCAAACTTTGGGCAATTGGGCGTAGACGGACCCCAAAACAGGCTATCCTAAACCATTAGTTAGACGAATTGACTAACATACAAGCCATTGTCTGACCACACTTTTATACAATGTAATACACCCCCAAAAGGGTCCTCAGTAGATGAGATTTACTTAACCCTTATATACTAGATCTACATCCAAAAAAGAAAGTGGGATCCTCAACACATTTGATAGCATGGATGAGTACAATATCCTAGCAGATAGAGAAACTTACGAGCCTTTCCATAGTAGCATATCATAGTGGTATAGGCTTTTTCGTCCAGAGGTATTTCCTTGCTTCGGGCCATGTTAAACATCTCCACGGCTTTATCCAGGTTTCTACCTCGTCCATACACACTGCGTACATAGTACATGTACTTAATGACACTGATGAAAATCTTTCATTTTCCTGTAGTGTGTAGAGATACTTGATAGTTGATATAGCATCAGTCCTCTTACCTGATCATAGTGTTATATGTCTGAATTGATGGATCAATCTTCAACGAAACCATGCGTTCATAAATGCTAGCTGCAAAGTTTAACTTGCCTAGATACCGAATATTATATCCTTAGTTCTCCTACTCATTCAAATTCATTTACATGATCAACTTCTCTCATGGAGTAATAGGTGTACATGGGAGAAAGGAAAATCAACCTGTTGATAGCATTGCCTTGATGAATGTATTATACGCCACAGTATCAATCTCAACATTGGCTTCAAAAGTGATATGTATGACATCTTCCGCTTCCTTATATTTGCCTGCAGATAATATGTAACTTGATACTCCACACCATCTATATAGCAGAATGTAGGGTTAAAACGTTCTCAACTTTTCATAGTGGATATTTTGAGCATTATGGACCCGGTTTGGCCTGTTTCATTTTTTGCTTTTGAGCCAATTTTTTGTACCAAGCACTGACTCATTTCACTGTGTTGACTTAATCCGCTAATAATGAAAAAATAGCCCATTAGTTACTTTTTTGGTTGAACTTATAGAATCTGATAGTTCTACAATTCTAATTTATTTTTTGAAACAATTTTCTTTACATTATACACACAGACATGTGTACATATACACATGTATATATATTAGAAAAATTTATGTTTTAGATAATTCAGCAGAATAAACCACAAAGTTTATTAGAATAAACCACTTAAGCTATTTTAAGCCTCACCAAAACGATCACCAAAGAAATTGAACAATTTACTGTCGTTTTTGAATTCGCATAAAGTATCCAACTCAAAGATTTCTATTCTTACCACAGTTGGTCAACGCATTCACGACCATGCTAATGGCAATAGGACCCACAACACTTCCTTTGTTAATAACCTTCTTGTAAAACAAGTATGCTTCCTCTTGTTTGTCACATCTGTTATATGCATCAATCATGGCATCATACAGAAGTGTTACATTTCTTGTCGAGTCTGCTAATGTGGCAAAGATTTTTTCAGCATGTCTCAGCTTATGTTGCTTTCCATACAATCTTATCATATGTGCGATAGCAGATTCATCAGGGTTGCAGCCTAGCTTCATTATCAACTCAAGAAGGTTCTCTGCTTTTGATATGTCACCTACGCGAGAAGAAAATTATGCAAAGACCATGAGCCATAATATTTTTTCCCATGTATGCAAAGGTAAAAGGAAGGTCAAATATAACAGATGATCTCAATAATGTAATGTCAAACAGCGTGTAAAAGGACCATACATTTGAAATATTGCTGGAGCCAAAAGAAATCACCAATAGATGTTAATGCATGCACTAAATTAGACGAAAGTTTTTCCAAGTTTGGCTAAGTGTAACATGTTGGAGAGAACTGTAATTCTGAGAAACAAAATATGCTCATAAATTTGTTTTTTTGTTCAATAAAAGCCATGAATATTTTGTAAAGTTTTTAATCAACACAAGTAAAATGAGAAAGAGAAAGGGTGAATTTAGGAAAATGGAAAGTTATTGGTTTTCAAACTGGAGAAGTGCAATTAAAGGACGAGCTAAAAATGAAAGTATGAGAAATAGAAATATAATGGAACCAAGGGAGTGTCATATTATACTTTTCCAATGGTAAGGTAGTCAGGAGACGTAAATCAAATTAGAACTACTTTTGAAAGAAACATATAGGTGAGGGTTATAAATTTCAAATAAAATGTACTCCACACTATTGGAACTTTTGGCAACAAAAATCTACAGCTCAGGCAACCAGGCAGGGTACTTTCCTTACATAAAGACAAACTTACATGTAAAGAAAATTAAGATGAAAAGTCATTACTATTTCAGTGTCTAATGGCTATCAGAAGAAGAACCTCAGGAAAGTCAGGAAACAATTTATTTTACCCTTTTCAGGAAGGGTATTTTTTATTCTATTTTTATATAAAGACAAACTTACATGTAAAGAAATTTCAGACAAAAAGTTATTACTATTTCAGTGTCTAGCGGCTATCAAAGCAAAAGTTATATTACCCTCTCTGGCAAAGCTCTTCAAAACTTGACTTGCTACGGACAAGCCATTTGGAGCCTTGATCAGTGTTCCCAATATTTCTTGTGCCTTCTCATTATTCCCATCTGCCAGCATCAGGGTCAGACTTAGCTCAAAAGCCGTTGAAGCATTTTCCACTTCAACCCATCTATCCCACGTTCCCCTTGTGGCCATAAGAAGTGTTTGACAAAGTTTACTATCCTCAAATATCTTGCTTGTAGTTAGCTCTTCTAGCAACTTCTCTGTATCTATTACCATTCCCTCCTTGGAATAAACCTTCATTACTGTCTTAAGGAGTTGTTCATCAAATTCGACATTGTTTTTTCTTATCTGGAAGATAAACTCCTTTGCTTTTTCAGCTAATCCCTGTCTCATATACAAATTCAGCATGTTATCGCAAGAAACAGGATCTGGAAGTTCAACTTTAGATAGACTCCTAAAAGTGTCTTCAGCGGAGGGCAAGTCTCCCATCATGACATAACACTGTAACATGACACTATATGCATATCTTGAACATAAGAGGTTTTTTGACTTCATCAGTTCCATTATTTGCAAAGCTTTGTCAGTATTCCCAGCACTCATATGGACTTGTGCCATTGTTGTATAAGTTTTCTCGTCACTAAGCATCCCCAGTTTCTCAATTTCATCAAAAGTATCTTGAGCTTCTTGATAAAGACCTAGCTTTCCATATATACGGATAATCAAACCATATATGACCTCATCTGCAATAATTTTATACTTCTTCATTTCCGCAAAGAGGGTAAGGGCTTTAGGATAATCCTCATTTTTGTAATATACTGCCAGAAGTGAAGCACAGGTGAAATTACTTGGAATGATCCCATGTGATCTCATTTCATCATAAAGACCAAAAGATTCATCATGGTTTCCAATCTTGGAACTTAAACTGATGAGAAGGCAATAAGTTACCTCTTCAGGAACAAATCCCAAACTTTTCATCTTCTTAAAAGTTTTAATAGCTTCCGCAGCATGACCACCTTTCACAAGAGAGGCAATAACAATTGTATACGTAAAATGGTTGGGAACAACGCGATTATTTATCATATGGTTCCATATATCTATAACATTGCCATGGAGATTCTTTTTCTGCAAAGAAGAAATCATAAAGTTGAAGACTGCAGCGGAGGGTGTTATTCCTCTTTGTTGTACAGCAGAAAAGAATGACAACATAGCTTTGTGACGCCCCCATTTAGCATACCCGCAGAGCATCGTGCCACAAGCAACTTCATCAGGTTCACACCCTGCTTCAAGCATTTCCAAAAAGGTTTGTTCAGCAAGTCTAATTTTACCCACTTGGCTGTACGCGCGAAGAACAAGTGTATACACAACCACACTAGGCTGATAGGATAACTGTTCAAGAATAAAGCTAACATTACACAAAAATTAATATTTCATGTATTCACATAAAGTAAGCAGCAAGAAAAAGGAGTAACCCACTTTCTTTTTATTAAACATACACAAAATACACAACTGCCCTTGTCTCTACTTTCTATAAGGGTATCATTGAATTCTGGAAATGCTAGAGAACTGCTATGCTAAGGAAAAGAAAGATTCTTGTGTTAAGTTTTAGCACAGACAATGCATTTAGTTTTATCTACATGTGTTTAGATTTTGTAGACTTAATATGTAAATGGGTAAAATAAGTTTGAGGTAATGAAAAACTATCAAAAATAGATTTATTGAGATTTAACCAGTATTTTAGGTTCTGTGACATTCTCTTTCTTTCAAAATCTCCCCCTCATTTTATTTCCCTAACATTTTGCAAGTTCCAAATAGACCTCAAGAAAAACCACAGGAAGAAACTAACAAAGACAAAACATGTAGCAAACATACGGAAGGCCAATTTTAACAGAGAGGAATCTGCATTATGTATCATTAGGCAGAAGCACTGAAATAGAGGATAAAACGCATGGATGAAGAACTGTCTATTAAGAGGTTGAGAGGGGTGGTATCCTACCTGCATTTTCATCCAAGCGAAAAAGTCTCTGACTTGTCTCCAATCCCTTTGCTCTTTCAGCACAACGCACATCTCTCTGAAAGTAAGCTTAGCGACAAAAGAACCCATGACTTTCCTCATATCATACGACCCTTGAGGCTTAGAAGAAAGGCTCCTAACAATTCGAATTGCGGCGACTACATGTTTTCCGTACAGGTGACCATTCCGGTCGTCCTCCAGGTACTGCAGCATCTGCTCCGGCGTCCTCTTGATCCATTTCGGGGTCTGAGCTTGTGAGCCCTGGTTGCGCCTCAGCACGCTCAGGTACCGGGCCTTGGCTTTGATTATGCGGCGCGCGTTGTCGTCGGATAGTGGGTTTTTGGGATTCTTGTGCTTCGGTTTCGGCTTGTTGAGGTTCTTGTCGTTGCCGTCGCTGAGGGTCCACGGGTCGGGCCTGAGGGAGCATGAAACTTTGGGCCGTTTGAATTTAGGGTTCTTCAGATAACTTGAAGATGGGTTGCTTAAGGGAATGGTGGAGTGGAGAAAGGATGACTGCAGAGCTTCCATTGCTAAATGGGACTGTTACAGGGTGGTCCAGAGACCAGAGCCATATAATAGGCAGCTGACGCACGTCAAGCTGTGTGAAAAAACAGGGGTAGGAGCTAGATTAAAGGCTATGTAAAATAGTTGAACTTTTAAATTTGTTTAGACATGTTAATTATCAAAATATGACTAAAAGTCACCCACTTTACATAATTGGGACCAAAAAAACTATTTTTTCATAGGACTAATTATGTGTGTCTTGGATAAATATATCCTTATAATTATTGAAATGTTTTAATTCATAATAAAACGATAAAAAATAATAAAAATTCGTAAAAAATACTAAAAAATTAATAAAAATAATTCGATAATGATAATTTATTTATTTATTTAATTTCATAAAAAATAAAAAAATAAAAACTCAAAAAATAAAATAAAATTCACCGCCTCCTCTGCCACCTTTGCACCACCACCTCCAGTCACCGGGGGAAAAATGTCAAGTTCATTACGAATGTCATATTTATAGCAGAAAACAATGAAAATATTGGCATTCTCAAAGAGAAATATGTCATGTTTTTGGCATTTTTCAGAAAAAAAAAATGGCAGTTTTTTAGGGAAAATGAAAGTTTTTTCACCAGTCGAAGATGGTGATGCACGGAGGTAGTAGAGGCGGTGGGAAAGGCATCCAATTTTTTATGGAGTTTTACTATTTTTTATTAATTTTCAAAAAAAATTAAAAAAAAAATGTTTTTTTGAAATTTTTATTTTATAAATATTTTATAAATTTTTTTATTATTTTTCTACGAATTTTTGAATTTTTTTCGAATTTTATATGAATTAAACATTTAATTAACTCATATTTAAAGGAAGGGTAAGAATGGAATGAAAAAATAGGTATGTTTCCAACAGGACTAATATGGTCCCATACTGTACTCAATTCAAAGAATAATCAAATATATTCATTTATATATACAACATCAATTATATATCTAGTATGTGTGTCAGTGTGTGCATTAACTACCCTATATATGGGCATGTGTATAGTATAAATCATATATTTAATGTTTTTTTTGTTACTAACAATGTTAAATAGCTAATATAAAATTAGAGTTCTTTTACTTTCATATAACTAGAGGATGTACCCGTGCGTTGCACAGATATATTATGTCATGAAATGATCTTTAAATAGGAGTAAAAATAATGTTGTTATGTTTTTTCCATACTCAGCATTGTGTACACTTTGTTTACGATATATGTTGAATATGTATTGTTAATGGAGAGAAAATAAAATTTCAGCAATAAAAATTAAAACCATAACAGTATGAAAATGAGAAACCTAAATAAATGGAGAGTAATGCCAAAAGAAACCATTACACTAAACATAACAATGTAATAAAGATATTAAAAAAACAATGTAATAATGATGCATCTAATACAAAACTGAACCGAAGTGACACATTCATTGCCCAAATAAATGGATAATAATGCGAAAAGAAAGTATTCACTTCACACAACAATGTAATAATGATGTGTTTAACATGAAAATGAACTCAAGCTACATGTATTTGTTAGATAGGACCATCCTCAGTAGAATCTCTTGAAATTGCACCAAGCCTGAAATAGAGGTTTAAATTATAATGCATTTTTTCATTTTAATTACACGCTTAGAAATAAAATACTGCAAATATTGTATGTAAGAAATGGTGGAAAACAGAAGTAAATGTTACCATGTTTTAAAAAACTTCTTTATATCCCACATTGATTGTGGATTTTTCTGTTTGATTGTCGTACTCACATATAAGTATCTTCAATCTATCTCTAGAAGTGACTCTTGACATAGCAACATACAATTGACCGTGTGAGAAAACGGGTTGTGGAAGATAAATTCCAACTTGCTTTAGAGATTGACCTTGACTTTTATTTATTGTCATTGCAAAACAAACCATAACAGAGAATTGCCTCCGTTGGAACTTGAAAGGAATTCGACTGTCAGATGGCACCAAAGAAAGTCGAGGAATAAAAACTTTTTCCCCAACATTACTTCCTAAAATTACTTTAGCCTCCAAAACATATTTTCCAAGCTTAGTAACGATAAGTCGAGCCCCGTTACATAACCCTGAAGACTGATCAATGTTCCGCATTAACATAATGGGTACACCAACCTTAAGATTCAACTTATGATTTGGCAACCCAGAAGCATTAATGGTATTCAAAAATTCAGGAGTGTGCACATCATCTAGTGTATCAGGATTACCATTACGGGAACATGTACTGTCAAAACTCAGATATGTTTTCATCTCACCCGGCATCAAAGACATCATATAATTATTGATGATGTCAACAACTTCATTTTTAGGTGTCAAGATCGCCCTATTCTGGAAATAACTTGGATCATTCATGTTATCTAAAAGCAATGGATAGGTACTATTAAAAATAGATTCAAGCGGATCACCTGAATTCTGAATCAGCGTGTCATCTGGTATGTCAATGAGAGCATTTCCATCTGTGTCACGTCCAATAGTATCATCTCCAACACTTATTCAACTTTTCAACGCCACAATTGGAAGAACCATAATGAAGGCACATGTTCTTGGTTAAAGTTAACACTCGACAGTATTGCCAAAGGTACGATGCATTTATTGCAGCATGCACAATTTCTTGTTGTGTGCCCTTAGGTATGACTGGAAGAATTTGCCTGAAATCGCCTCCGAAAACGGCTACTTTTCCTCCAAAGGCTTGATGTAAGCTCTCCCTGTTTTGAAACCTCATGAGATCTCAGAGTGATCTATCAACTGCCTCAAAACAATGCTTGTGAGTTATTGGAGCTTCATCCCAAATGATGAGCTTAGCTTTGATAATTAGCTCCGCAAGATCACTACCTTGTTTTATATTGCAAGTTGAATCTTCATTAACATTGATAGGAATGGCAAACCTTGAATGGGCTGTTCTGCCACCTGGAATAAGCAATGCTGCTATTCCACTCGACCCCACATTCAAGTCAATGTCACCTTTAGATCGTATACATGCTGATGTTGCCTTCAAAATATATGTTTTTCCAGTTTCTCCATACCCATTGAGAAAAAAAACCCCCCAAGATTTTCATCAACACATTGAATGATTGTATTGTATACATCTCTTTGCTCAGACGTCATTGTTGATAACAATTGTATTAATTCTGAAGCAAGGGCAGCTCTGTCATAAAAGAATTCATCATAGAGGAGTCTATTTTGTGACTCAGATAGCAGTGATATATCAGGGTGTGGCAGCGTTGGAAAATGACTTAAACCTTTTCCGTTAGTCTTCAATAAATTTCGTATTTCTGCCAGAGTAAGATGCATCAACTGATCCGTAGACAATATAGGGTTATCGATCATTGATTAGGTGCGACCACAAGCTAGAATCAACTTCCTCAACATTCTGCGTAAGAATTGGAATTTACAATGCGTACTACATTAGGCCATTGTTGCTCCAACCAATAATTTAACTTAGTTCAATGTAAATTCAAAATTGAATGTATTATCTAATAGCTGAAATAATGCGTAAAATTAGTTATTGTACATTTACTTGATCATGAGATTGTACTGGACACTCAGAAAACTCATCCTCTTCATGGTTTGGATCATGTGGGGTTGTTATATATATTTAAACAATTTAATCTAGTTTAAAACGTAAGTGTAACAATTTAAATGTAATCACATATACCTGGTTCGGATTGATTTCCATGAATTGTTTTTTACTCTCATCATCACAGTACATTTTTTTCACTGCATAACTTCTCCAGTTTTTGTTTATATTGTTTTCAGTTATTTCTATCTTGAAAAGAACCTTTCTATCAAGCAGTCCTTCAAGTTCCTTAGGCCTTCAAGTTCCTTAGGCAGCACATCACGACTACTTTCCTGCTATAGATGTTACAATACAGATTTAGTGGTGTAGTGATGCATATCTGTAGGTATATGTAACACTCCATTGTTAACCACATGATGAGTTTGAATATCACCTTATCCATCAATTCTATTTGATCTGAAGCAGGACTTCCAAAGAACCGAGACATCACATTATCAAATCCAATAAATGTTGTCGATCCACTGTGATCGATAACTTTTATGTCTACTATATACCTAGAAATAAAGCTCATACTAATACTTAAGTTTCGTAACATACTAACAAATGCAACTAATTTTTTATCTGAGACTATGAATACCTAGGAATCGCGATCTTCATGTCATCACACTTGGTGTTGGCACAGTAAAACCCAGATCCTGCTGGATATACTTTTTTGAAACATGTGGTACATGCCTGATAATACTATCCATATTTGTTATCCAGCTCATTCACTTTAGCCATTACTAAAGCAAAGCTTTTATGCCAATGTCTTAGATAAAATGCTTACCATTTTATGGATAATTACCATTCATAATTATAGTGTTACGAATTCTAGGGAAAAATTGTATTTTGGTTGATTTGTACCTTGGAGACTTCCATTATTTCTGAAATTGACAATATCGAAGTTTGTCGCAAATCATCAACAAATGCATTGGTTGATCGATTAGACATACTGGTATTAATTTGACCAACATTATGATTACCGCTAATTAACCTGTTCAAACATAATTTTATGGAAATTAAAGATATAAAAATTGTCATACTTTATAAAATAAAATGTGTTTTTTAGGTTGACATCTGAAACTTTCCTCTGTCTATATTCTTATATGGCAGAAAATCCCTCATTAATGAACAATTTTGATCCCTGGTAGTAATTCGATATGCCCCAAATTCCTGCCAATAAATACATATAATATTGTTAAATACTAACCAAAGTATTATGGTGACATCATGCCATATGAATAAGTGAAAGTTTAAAGAAATCATTTTATATAGAACTTATTTGAAGTGTTAGAGCTTCAAATAAGATAGATGATTTAATTTTGTCTAACAACAATTAGTGTTAGAGTCAATCTCACAAAGCTAGAAAATTGCACTAAAACAACATAATTATTTGTGAATTTATGACTTTCTAAGATGATTTAATATCACCTTTTTATGCATGTTCGGACATAGGTTATCATAATTAGCAATATGTTGTCTACCATCTTAAAATCAAATAAAATTAGACATTG